GTAGACGATACACCCAGCTTATTTGCGGCATCTCGGAGAGAGAGGTTAGGGTTTCGCTTGAAACTACCGGCAACTCTCTTTGTCGTCTCAGCGGCTTCCGGTTTTCGATTTCCCCCCGATCCAGACTTCCTGGCTGTCGACAAACGTTCCCCAAACACTTTAATTACATTTGTAACGGTTGATTTGGCAACTTTTAGCGATTTTGCCAACTTTGCGTGCGAGTAGCTCGGATTTTCGCGATGCGCGAGCAAAATTTTGATACGCTGCTCTTCTTGCTTGGACGGCATTTTGACAACTGAAGAGTGAATTCCAAAATCAAAATAGGAGCAACATTCTACACACACACACCTTCAAAATGAGGGGTGTTCAGGTTTTTTAAATGCAAAATTGAAAGAAATACGTCAAGTTGATATTGACCAAATTTTGACCGTATCACCCTTTATAGTAAACAAGAATCCTCGGCTCTGTAAAGTTAATTCGATTGAGCCTTATACATTAAATAAATAGTATTTTTTTTTCAAAACGTGTCCTATTTTGCTTGAAATGTTGTTTACAAAGTGTAATCAGCATTTTAATCGCCTATGGCCACATGATGGTTCCCCGGAGGATCCGGAAAGTCGCCCGGAACATCCCCAAAAATTACCATCTCATGAAACTCATTTTATAGGTTCGAGATTTTTTTCAAAAATTTAACTGTTGTACTTCAAAACGTTATCTACGAAGTTCAATCAGCATTTGGACCTCCCATGGTCATATTCCGATCCCTCGGAAGGTCCGGAACATCCGTTAAAATATCAATATGATAAACTCGTTTTAAATTTTTCAAAACGGTTCCTATTGTGCTTACAAAAAGTTGTTTAGGAAATGCAATCAGCATTTGATCCGTCCATGGCCACATTAGGGGTCTCCCGGAAGATCCGGAACATCCGTAAAAAATACCATTTCATGAAACTCTTTTTTGTAGCTTCGAGATTATATCAGAAATTTACCTGCTGTGCGTCAAAAAGTTATTTACGAAGTGCAACATCATTTGGACCTTCCATTGCCATATATGATCCCTCAGGAGATCCGGAACATACGTAAAAGTAATCAATTTGATAAACTCGTTTTACAGTTCTACGATTTTTTTAAACAGTTTATTTACGATGTGCAGTGGCGTCCCGTAGCCTCACTTTTTACCTATGCACCAACTTTCAAAACCAGATTTAATGCCATATTTATACTCGAATCGGTTGAAAAATACACTTAATCTTCTAGTTTACTTGCTATAAAACGAGTATGAGAGGAAATAGGCGCTTCTTATTCGCTTTTAGCCTATCCATGTTTCTAAGCATATATAGAGCAGAGGAGAAAGCACAAGCTAATCGCAACGTTCTCGGGGTTCGAGTCCAGTCGGCAACCTTTTTCCATTTTTTTTTTGACTAATTAATTTCACTCACATTTTTTGGTCTCCAATTTTCTTGCATCGGACCGCAGTTCGGTTCATGTGGTCTTCACTAACATCCTGCGATGATGAATCCCACTGTATGCGAGCCTTACATCCCCTGGTTGGGTGTAGTTATGAGACGTCCTTTATTGCGATAGCTTCAGGGCAGTTCCATAGGTATTACGCAAATTTCAGGAACACTAGTGAAGATCAAAAGCTTCATGGCAGTTCCATTAAATTAGGAAAATGGCAGGAGTTTTACAGAAGTTACCAAAACTTCATTTGAACTTAATGATCTTAAGCTATGTGAACTTTGGGACAGTGCAGAGAACTTCAGTGCAGTTCTATGAATATCAGATAAATTGCCGGAACTTCAGTGAAGTTCCGAGAGCTTCAGAGAATTTGCAGGTAGTTCAATTAAATTCAGCAAAATAGCGAGAACCTTAAAGATTTTCCAAAAAAAAAAAAATATACCAAAGAACACCAGGGAAGTTTAGAGAACTTAAGAAAAAATCGGAAACACAGAAACTTGGAGAAATTCACGGATCAGCAGAGAACTTCGGAAAGTTAAGAGATCTTAAAGGCAGTTTTATCAATTTCAGAGTAATAGTGGTAAGTGTAGTGGTAAGCGTGATGGCCTCTCACCCCAAAAGGCCTGGGTTCAATCCCAGTCGGTGCCGTTGGGATTTTCTGAGGCATAAAATCTCAGACATAAAGCCTTTGATCCCCGGATCATGAGTTAATGGGTCAATAGGTAGGGTCCAGGTGTGGGAGCTCTGCTTCCCTGGCATCGGTAGCATTGCTACTCAGTACGGAAAACAAGATCAACGGGACGGAAAACAAATCAAGGAAAAAAAAGAAGAGTCATGGGAGCTTCAGGGTTGTTTAAAAAACTTTTCAGGGTGGTCCACAAAAATTTTAGGAACGATAAAGTAGTCCCCGGCCTCCCTTAGCTCAGTCGGTAAAGGCGCAGCTACAAAGCAAGACCGTGCTGGAGTTGACTGGGGTCGATTCCCGGTCCGGTCTAGGATTTTTCGGGTTGGAAAACTACTCGACTTCCCTGGGCATAGAAGTATGATTGGACTTGCCACACAATTATACTAATGCAAAAATGGTACAGGCATCGAAAACTCTCAATTAATAACTGTGGAAGTGCATCCAGAACACTAAGTGGAGAGCACACAATAAGCTAATATGCGATATGCAATAAGCTTGAAATGCGAAGAAGAAGAAGTAGTCCCGAAGAATATCGAGGATTTCGGGGAAGTTTCATGAACAGACGACGGGTACATAAGGGGAGTTCTAAGAACTTTTATAGAATTTCAGGGAAGCTTTGAGCACTTCAAGGCCGTTCCATCAGCTTCAGGGAACTTGCAGAAACTTTCCAGAAGTTCTAAGAACTTCATGAATATTCGGAGATCTTCAGGGAGTTTAAGATAACTTCAAAAAAGTTCAGAGAACTTGAAGAAAATTGTGGTAACTTTAAATGGATTTTTCGGGGAAGCTCAAAGACCTTAAGGGCAATGCCAATAAGTTCATGAAAGTCCAAACTTTCGGGAAAGAATTTTTGGACAATTTAATTTATTTCTGTTCAATTCCAATAACTTCAGAAGAATCAAGAAAGATCAAAAATCCTCAGGACAGTTCTCTTGACTTCAAGGAAATTGCAGAAGTTTTACAAAATGTTCAAGACACTCAAGGGAATTTCCGTTAAATGCCGATATGTTCAAGGATTTCCAAACAACGTCTGAAAAATATTGAGATTTTTAGGCAGTTTCATTTTTGCAGGGATGTTCCTAGTTGCAGATCAGAGAACTTCAGAGCAGTTCGAGATGTTCAGAGGAATTATGAAAAATACAAGAATTTCAGGAATGTTGTCTGCCATGAAACAATGAATATCAGAAAAATTGATGAAACGATAGAGAACTTCCGAGAACTTCTTAAATATTTTGGGAACTTCATGAAGAAACCAAAACTTCAAGCAAGTGCGAGAAATTCAGAGAAATTGAGAGGTTTTAAGGGAAGTTCCATGAAGTTTCGAAAACTTCAGAAGAAAATAACTGTATTCAATTTATTTCAGGAAATTTGCGGGAACTTTTAAAAAGTTGTAAGAAATTCAGACAAGCTTATAGAGCTTTACTGCAGTTTAGAGATTTTTAGGGTAGTTTCAATAACTTCAGGGAAGCACCGGAAGCTGCAGAAAGTCTTCCAGGGAACTTTAAATATCTTGAAGAATTAGTAATTTGTTTCGGCTTTTAAGTTTTCAAGATTACAGTTTTGACATCGTCAACGTTTCGATCGAGGGCTTGACAGAAGAACTTCGTGGATGCTCATGGCTGGCTCATAGCTTCAACAAGCATACACTGATAGGAATGTACCAAGCGTTATTTCCATCAGCTGTTTAATGATCGTATTTGTGATAGATGGCAACTCTGAATTTCTGTCTTCGGCTGCAGACTTCTCTGAAAGCCCTAGTATTAGTGCAACCAACTATGGGCGGCTCCAAGTGTAAGTGCTTCTGTATACAATTGTTCTTTCACTTATACTTGGATCCACTCATAGTTGGTTGCACTAATACTTGGGCTTTCAGAGAAGGCTATTTGATGAAGGATAGTTCAATAATTATCTCGCCAGATGGTACTGGTTCGCCATTGGAGCTGAGAACTCATATTACTAGCCTTCTTCATCGAATTAATAACAATGGAAAATCTGGTGTTCGTGTGCAAATCCAGTTCGAATGTTCGGAGGGTATTCAAGGACAAGTGCAGATGATTCTAATAAATCTTGGAGACAGTTTTAGTACAATTTATACAAAATGTATGAAGATTTTTTTTTTAATTTTCTAATGTGCGTGGGCCTTTACAGTATTCTTCAAGTATTTACATGTGCGTATCAAATGTATACAGGGGTAATGGATATAATGTCGGCCTAAATGCCCCTAATTTGGGCCCATACATAAATTCAGCAATCGACTTAATTTTCAATAGCGACCAAAAATATCCATTAGTACCGTCCCAATGACGCGTTCATATAGATAAAATTGATAAATAGCAGATTTTTAGCGATGGGCCCAATCTTAGATCCAAAGGCCTACATTAGATCCATTTCCCCTATTTAATTTCCGTCATAAACGTCATGAAAATGCGATTGATGTGCCTCATGAAAAACGAAATGATCGAAGTCGAGCGCTCTTTCATTCAACCGCTTCACCGAAGCTTGAAAGAAACTATTGAAAATGTGTGTGTTGACGCCGATTGAGGTGCTAGAATGATGCGAAGCTGTTCGACTTCAACAGAAAAAAGAGAGCTAGCAGTCTCGTCGTCTCATTAATTTTGTCGATTGAAGGTGATATTGGGACGTGTTTCGTTTTTAGCTTTATACGAAAAGTGACGCGCATCAGTCGCAGAGCACCGAAATTTACAAGAGCTTTTGGTAGCGTGAAGATAAATTGCAGCACACATCAACTGTTGACTGCACCCACCCTCAAGACACCATCCGCTGCCTCAGTGAATTCACTTCGAGATTTCCCCCGACAAAGAAAAAAATAAACCTAGAACAACCCCTATCGACTCACCTCATCTCCCGATCGTACGCCATCACTGCGGCCATGGCTGCAACTGCGGCTGGATCGTCCGGATTGTACTGAAGCTGGTGCTGCTGCTGCTGTGACAATGCGCTAAGATGATGTCCGGCCAGCAACGAGTCGTACTGCTGATTGAGTGCCGCCGAGCTGATATAGGACGAATCTAGCAGGGAATTGTTGTTATCATAGCCTCCTCCTCCGCCACCGCCACCGCCGCCACTTCCGGGACCGCCAAAGTGAATAAGATTGTAGCTTCCACCGCCGAAAAGCAGCGACTCCGGGGGGCTTATCGATTGCGGTTTACTACTTTGGAAAAACGACACACGCACTTTGGAACGTTCAACTCTGTGGGTGAGAAGAGAATGCGAAAGCGAAAACGGGGTGAGAATTGGGTTAGTAGTGAGTGTGAGTAAGCACATTCCGTGCATACAATATAGCGGGTCATCAGGAAATGAATATTGAGAGCCCCACCCCCACCCACAAGTCGGACCGGAACACGAGCTGCTAATCATTCAATTTCCTTTATTCTCAGTCCTACTGCTCGCTGTTTGCTCTAGAAAAAAAAAGGACACGAGAGAAGGCCATGGAGCGCGGAACACATTAACTTAGTTTCCACAGTTGGCTTAGTAGAATTATATGTATATCTACGCTGAGCGCGGGAATCGATTCTCGGTTGGCGCCTAAATGGCGACCGCGTGCTTGACGGCAGTATCCATGCACACTGCCAGGCTGACTGACTGTGTGGTTGGCTGGTGGTGGTTTGCTAACGATATGAATGCACGCTGGTTGGTGCGGTGGCCTTGGTGGATGGTGCAAGTCTCCGTTGCTGGTCCACTCGGTCGGTCGGTGGGGTGTTGCACGCAAGAGGGTGATGCTTGCATGCAACTTGCCGTGGGTAAATGTGTTTTTGATTGAGCAGGATAATTCTCTGTGATGGATTACTGTTATATGTTTTCAGGTTTCTTACTTCGGTTATATGCATTGCATTGCGGAGTTTCGAGGGTAAAATAAGCTCTAGTTCCGTAGAGGTTATAAATAATAAATAACCTAGTAAAATAAGAAGCGAGCCTGTATGTAACCGGTGATTGTAATTCAAAGAACACAAGCAATATTGACAAAAATAAGTTTGAGACTGTCAGTATCACTCAACGAATTGAAAAACAAATAAACCTTCAGCAAAATCCAATTATTAGTTTTTCGACAATGATAAAAACTTACATTGAAATAAAAAAAAAAAACATTATGTCATGCATTCTTCTTCAAATTATTTTTATCCATGCCGTTATGAACCAAAGCGACTGTTAACATTAGCGGTTCTATGGATTTATTTCGTTGATTCATTAGCAGGCCTGTCCGTTTTATTTTTCAACATTCAATGTAACCGCTATGCATTAGTAGGTATTATGCTTATTGTAAGACCATTGTTTTAGTCTTCCTTCTCACCATAGGCCATTGTTCGAACTTTTCTTCGTACTAGACCCATCATTTTTTACACGAGCCCTGTTCCCACTTGTCTGGCTCCCAAATTCCATTTCCGCTGAAATCCTTCCGGTCAATTGCAGTTCCACACTTTTTCTATAGTATGTGCTTCATAATTGACCTGTATTCCTCAATAGGCCTTAGTTCCGGAGTATTGGCCGGATTCATCTCCTTTGGAACCACGATGACGCCATTTTTGCTGTACCACTGGTTTGGTGGAACTTGAGTAGTGGCAACTTGTCCAGCTCAGCTAGAATAGGCAATCCACCTCATGCTGTTCCATAAAAGGCAGTAGTCTCTTCCGTAGGCACTCTTCCTGGTAAATTTGCTGGTTCATGGTCCCAGAAGTAACGAAAGTTTCGTTTTTCTGCCCACAACTGCAGATTGTTTGCCAAACAAGGAACTTTTTCGGGAATTTAGACTTCTTGATTTCACATTCTTCCGGGGCACTCTTCCGGTCAACCGAGGTCCAGGAATTTGATTAAAAAATGCTAGGAGCGGATAGACTGGGATTTTCGTTTCGAGCGTGCAGGATCGAATCGTGACGTTCTTGCTCCGGTGAAGCCATGTTGTAAACAAATGAACTTATCCTGAGAACCAATGCCTACCAATGCCTACTGTGATTCTATTCACTTTTATTCACTCTATTCAGTGAAATTTAGAAAAATTTTGCTCATGAAACGCTTTAATGGCAGGGTTTTTAAAGTATCCGAATAGTTTCGTGTTCCACCTTTATAGGGTGATTCAGAAATTCAAATGAAGTTTGTTTTTTTTTATTAATCTATTTCATAAGGCTCAATCGAATTAACTTTACTGAGCCGAGGATTCTTGTTCGCTATACAAAACATCTTATAACTGTAGTCAAAAGGTACAGCACAATAAACACGTTATCTTCCACTATCCAATAAGCATTCTCCATCAGAACGGGATCCGCTTCTAGTGGTTTCATTGTATGGCAGAATCGCCAACGGGGGGCAGAGCGCTTACATTGTAGCAATGGACGCAAAACGTGGTCATCACTCACACACTCATCACGAAACGGTTGCTTTCCAAAGTCGACGACGCATCGACCGAAATAACTGCTGATGAAGAACAATGAGGAGGACCGCACAATTGTTGCTGCCAAGTAAACAGACGATCGCGTGAGACACATCGAGAGTGGTCTGCGTGTTGACGATTTGTTAATTTTGCTGGTTGTGCGAAAATTTGTGATTTACAACTTTACAACTTTGTCTCAGAGGTCATATCGATTAGATGAGCCGATTATGTGCTATGATCTATTGAGAAATATCGAATACGACATTTTGAAAAACTATGCTAGAGTCAAAATGGCTCAATTCCAGTACAAAATTAGTTCATTGCACCTAGCGAACAATTGCGCGAAGTTTCATGGAATTCTGAGAAGTGAAATCTAAAATTTGTTTATCTTTTCGCTTTGGCCTGGAACTGCTCTGTGATTTTTTTTTTTCAATTTCAAATCCTTCACACTCATATTGGTTGTTAAAAGGTGACTTTAGTGGCTATTTTTTTCCCGAAATATTGAGTTAAGAAACTTTCAAGTGACTGACTTCAAAATAGTTACCCAGACACTAAAAAGTTACCTGCCACAGACAGGTTGATTTTTTTTAATGTTTGGGATCTTAAAAAAACATGGAGACCCCGTCATCTCGAATATGTCAAAAATCTTGACAACTTTTCATGTTCCAGAATCTGCGTATTGAAAGTTTGTCCAAGTCACATCTTCTTGACCTCAAAAAGTTAACTAAGCTCTCATAAGAACTCAGATATTTTAGACGTCCCACAAATTTGATTTTTTGTTTAATTAAATACTGAGTTAAGAAATTATTTTTGAGTCCGGGTTTCTGATAGAAGATTTTTAAAACTTATAAAAACATTCGAAGTACATAGGGTAAGTGTCCCTAATGTCAGCCTAAGTGCTCCTAATATTGGGCCCATACATAAATATCGAAGGAAAACATTATTCGAAAAATTTTCACTAGCAACCAAAAACATCCATTTGTATTTCCAAATAACACATTGTTCTAATAAAAGGAGATTTTTATCAAAGGGCCTAATCTTTAGATCCATAGCCCAAAACTAGAGCCATTTCTTCTATTCCGAGTAATTTATTTCTTGAGCTTTGAAGATTTTAAAATTTACAGTAACAATTTTTTTTTCATATCCGAGATCTTGGAATTGGATTAAAAATTCTCCAAATTTGGAGTACCTATTTAATTTAGTTTTTATTTTTAAAAAATCGCGCTAATAAAATTCTTTTTAAATAAAAAAAAAAACATTTTATAAGTAACTGTTAGCGATTGATGAGTAGCTGTTACTCATTCATTGGAAACAGTTGCTCTTAAAAGGGGCAAAATATGAGTCGTTTAACCACTCTTCTTTAAAATGTGTGAAATTTTACGCATCAATGGGCACTTTATAATTATTGCACATTAAAAAAAAAAATTCACCCTCGTAATCTTTGATGTTTACAAAATCTATGATAAGAAAAGATTCTGATTTCCTGATTTTCCTGAATTTATCTAAATCATATCAATTGTATTTGACCCCAACTAGTGCCATCTACCCAGTTACTGGGTAGATTCAAAATAGCGTGTTGATATGTCTAAATTCAAATTCATGCAGGCAGTTGGTCTATCTGTTAAGGTTGTCTTCATTTTCACCTAAGTTGAGTGTAGAAGGAATGGATTTTATCAGCACTGCTTCAAAATGTTAAGTCATGTCTCAGTTTCATGTTTTTTTTTTCTGGATCCTGAATCATGATTTTTTTTTGGGTATTTTGAGAAATTTCCTGAATTTCAAATAAGGTCAAAAGAGGACGTTTCCGTTTTTCGTTATTTAATGGGGCTTTGACGGTCATTCATCCCAGAGGTGACTATAGCGAAATTCAGCGAAATTTTATAGTAGATTCTTTTTTCATAAGTGCCCTAGAATAGGGATTTTAAAAACTTTCTTATTCAATAGGATCTTTTAATTTTTAAATTATTGGAGGACTATTGTAGACTTATGTAAATGGGTCAAAAATTAGCACACTTACCTATACAAGTTTTCAATATTTTGGAACTTCAACGAATTTTCAACATGTACTGGCATTTTGATAATTTTGAAAACGGCATACACTGTAAAATTTTGATAATTTTGGAAATTTTAATTCAAGCGGTTTTGCAACATTTGAAAGGGATTGAATTCCGATCTTGAAATATTTAGATTTTGTGTATTATCCATCATTCCAGATTTCAAGATTGCGGGGACAAACTAAACGCTAATTTTCAAAGTTTCATAGTTGCGAAAAGTTTTACGATTTCGGGCTTAGTTTTTTTTTTGTTTTCAGGCTTCATAAATCATATTCATGACAAATTCAGTCCGCACCGTGCTTTCTTGCCGTGTGGATCTATTTGCTTTTTGCTGAAGGAAGTGTTACTGCTACCTAAAGCTACAACAAATATAAACATCACATTTCAGAGCTAAATATTACCTGCAAATTTTCTACCTTTTCCGATTCTTATTCCTCTTCGATTCTTGTTCGAGCCCTACCCGAGGTAATCCTGCTTGGATATCGATTTGGAAAATTCCCTTTCAATCCTTCGGATTCTTATAGTAATCTGCTTGGAAGTCGATTTAGAGAATGGTGCCTAAACGTAAAAAAGGTCAATCTCTTGATCCCCTTTCTGATGAAAGTTATTTGAGCAATCAATTTGATATGCTCACTGATGATGAGAATGATCCATCATTCAGGCAAAATTTCACTAAACATTACCGAAATAATGCCAAGAAGGAAAAGGTCCCTCCTGTTGTGGTAACCACTTCCGATTTCCATGCTCTTCGCACGGAACTTTTGAACTTTGCTA